CAGGAAGAGTTGGAAAACCAGTGGACATGTTTGAATTAACAAACTCAGCCCTGAATGTGCTCACCAGCTTATGCCAGGAAATTTGGAGAATAGCTATCTGGCTGACGGACTGGAAGAGATCCACATTTGTCTCCATTTCCAAGAAAGGTGATCCAACAGAGGGTGGGAATTATCAAACAATATCATTAAAATTGCATGCAAGCAAAATATTGCTGAAGATCATTGAAATGTGGCTAGAACAGTATATTGACAGGGACTACCAGGAAAACAAACTGTTTTTAGAAGAAACCATAGCACTAGGGATATCTCTATGGATGCCAGGTAGATTCTGGCTGAAAGTAGAGAATACCAGAAGAAAGTGTATTTGTGTTTTATTGACTATTCAAGGTATTTGACTAGATAATAAAAATTTGTGGTTCACATTGAGAAGAATGGGAATCCCAGAACACTTAATTGTGCTCATACAATTGGTCTATACCTAGACCAAAAAGGCTGTGTCTGAATAAAAAAAAGTAAACACTGCACGGTTTAAGATCAGGAGGGGTGTGTGTCAAGCTGGCAGCATCTCTCCTACCTATTCACTCTCTAGGTTGAACAAATAATTTGCAATGCCAGATTCTAGAAAGGGGAGCGTGGCATCAGGATTGGAGGAAGAACTATCAACAACTTGATTTACGCTGATGAATCATCTTTGCTTGCTGAAAGTGAGGACTATATGAAGCGCTTGCTGCAGAAGATCAAGGACTACAGCCTTTCATATGGATTACATCTCAACATCAAGAACTCACACAGGCCCAACAGTCACCAGTACTCTAGATGGGAAAAAAGCCTGAAACTGTGAAGAAATTATTTCATCTTGCTTGGATCAATGGTCAACACTCTCAGTATTAGCACTCTGGAAATCAGGAGATGCATTGCAGTGGGCAAATCTGCTGTCAGGGACCACTGCAAAATACTGAAGAGCAATGATATCAGTTTGAAGACTAAGATGCACCTGATTCAGGCCATGGTCTTCTCAATCACCTGCTACACATCAGAAATTAAGACAATGAATAAAGATGACAGAAGAATTGATGTCTGTGTGTTGTGGTGCTGGAGAAGAGGCCTTAAAATCCCATGGGCTGCCAAAAAAACCTCCAGATATGTTCAAGAAAGGGTGTAGCCATGGTGCTACCTATAGGCAAGGATGACAGAGCTTTGTCTTTCATATTTTGGATATATAGCTATGCAAAAGTGTTCCTTGGAAAAGGAAATCATACTTGGGAAGACGGAGGATCAGCAAAGGAGAGGAAGACTCCGACATAATGGATTAGCACTGACTTGAGCAATGGGCTCTAATGTCTCAGAGATGATGAGGCTGGCACAGGATAGAGAAGGTTTCAGGATGGCTGTTCAGAAGTTCACTATGAGTTGTACTCGTTTCTATCACAACTAACAACAACAACTACTATGAATGCCCATTAAGGATTCAAACAAAATTAAAATCTTGACAATTTTAATCTTTCCTCCATCTATCGTAATGTTGCCTTTCGGTGGTCCATTCGTGAAGATTTTTGCTTTCTTGATATTGAGATGTACTCCACAGTGAAGGCTGTAATCTTTCATCTTCTGGAGTGTTTGGCCTGCTCCACTAAGCATTTCACATCTTTTTCATTTTCTGCAAGGATAGTTGTGCTACTTTCATAATGGACCTTGTTGATGAGTCTTCCTCTCAACCTAGTAACATATTCTTTTTCATATAGTCCAGCTTCTCGGATGATTTTTCTCAGTGCACAGATTGACTAGATATGGAGTAAAGAAAGCAGTCCTGAGCACACCTTGTCTAATTTTAAACCATGCAGATTTTCTGCTCAGGCAACTGTTTCTTAGTCTATGTAGAGGTTTTTGCATGAGTACATGTAAGTCTTCTGGGTTTCTCATTCTTCTCAATAATATCCATAACTTGCTATGTTTCATAGAACCAATTGCCTTTGCCTAGATAATAAAATAGAAGCAAGTATCTTTGATGTTGTTTTCACCCAAAATCTATCAAACACCCTGAGTGATAGTCCTTATTCCATGGTCTCTTCTGAATCCAGCTTGAATCTCTGGAAGTTATCTGTCAATGTATCGATCCAGCTTTTCAGTTCAGTTTGAGCTTAAATATAAGTAATTAATGTTCTCTTCTACAGTTAGTTTTTTACGACAGAGTTTTTCTACTGTCTCTTTACAGATTTAGACAACTTGACTCACATGTGTTTTATCAGGCAAGGTTTATGTATATAGTTGATGTTTGTGTGTTGTATGTATGTGTGTGTGTTTTACTTAAAGTATTTACAAGAAGTAGGCCATTGATCATATCAAATTCTATCATGTGAGATCTTGTCTTTCTTCTGTCAACCAAGGCCATATTTTTCCAACTACCAATCTTTCTTTGTTTTTCTTTTCCTTACATTTCTCATTCCAGTTACCAATTATTATTAATGTGACCTAGTTGCATGTTTATTCAATTTCTGGTTGCACAAGTTGTTAGAAATTCTCACCTTTTTCATCTTTGGCTTTAGTGGGTTTTGATATAAGAAGAGCAGTTGTGCTAGGTACTTTTATATGTACAGATGTTTGACAACATGTAATTTAGGATACACACACACTCACAAAGCATCTATACACATGAAGCTTGCTTGATAAAATACTCAGAAATTAAATTGATTATCTCTGTGAAAAAAGTCAGTGGAAAAGTTCACCAGTGTGATTCTGAAAGCCAAGACCAACTGGGGGAAAATACGTTTTAAAGATTAAGACAGTGTTACTCCCCTTCTCTTTGGCATTCTTCATATGAATATATGCTGTGATTTCACTAAATCACATTAAAAACAAAAAGTCTCAAAATGGCTAATGGTAGTTCTTCTCAACTGATGAATGCCTAGGATACTAAATCTCCACCCTGATCTGTTTCTCTAATAAACACCACAACTGTCAATAAAAAGATTATGTAAATTCTGTGTGGTTGTTTGCAATTTGCAACAAATTTTGGACCCAGTGATTATAAGAAGTAGGTGCTGCAGAGTACAGGGTCATGTCTGACCTTATAGGGATCATTTTTACACTGTGGATATTGTTGATGGGACTAGTTCCCCTTGGTGGAGTTTGTAGGAGTCAGACTCGGTTGTCCCCACCTTGTCTTTGTTCCATTTACACTCTGCAACTGAAGACTTCTGGTATAATTTTAACTGATAATTGTGGAAATGTTTTTTTAGTGAAACATATTTGAATCTTCATATTAAAAGAGCATTGATATTAAATGGTCTTTACCAATATTATGACATATGCCAATTTATCTCACACAGTTATCATTAATTATGTGAAATTCTACTTTAATTTCTATTAATATAGCCATAGCATCCTACCTATACCAGATATTTACCTTGTAGAGCTGGGTGGGGTTCCCCCTGCACCTTTCAGACTTATTGCATCTAAAATTCAGCGTTGTTCCACAATGTAAAATTATGTTTTGCATAAGGGAAGGACAATCGGAAAGGAATTAGACATTCTAGACATATGATGATTAAGAATTTGCAACAGTACAGGCATTATAAAGTGAAGTGGGGGAAATGTAGTGGGTAAGGAGGAAAATGTGTATGTATGAGTGAATGGAAACCAGTATCTTTGTAAACTTTTACTAAAATCACATTAAAATAACCCCAAAAGTCTCATCTCTAACACATGATGAACCAAGACAAAGAGAATAAAAAAGGACAGATAGTACAGGAAGGTCTGGTGGCTTAGTGGTAAAAGAAATATCTTGCCAACCTAAAGGCACATGGTTTAAATCCACAAGTTGCTCTGCTGCAGAAAGATAGACCATTTCCTCTTTTGTGATTTACTGTTTCTGAAAACTCCCTGAAGGGTCAGCTATGGGTTGGTCTAGACTTAATGATACACAACAATAATTGTATAGTCCAAGGTTTACACTTAATGTTATTAATAGATATTATCAAGTTGCCCAAGACTAATAGCAACCCTATGGGCAACATATAAAAAATCTACCCTTTCTTGTACAGTTCAATGATTTCTGCAATGTTCAAGCCCATGAATAGAGTGACTGTGTTAGGGACCTTCCTCTTTTTCTCTTGACTCTCCACTTTTTCTAACATGTTGTCCTCCAAGGACAGCCCCCTCCTGACAACAGGACCACAGGATGTGAAACAAAGATCCATTATCTTTGATCTAAAAAGCATCTTGGCTGAAGTCCTTCCAAAAGAGTTCTGTTTGTTCTCTTGACAATACTCTTCTCTGACACTACAAATCAAAGACATTGACTCTTCTTCAATATTCTTTATTTCTGTCCAGTTTTCTGATACATAGGAACTAATTGGAAAGATCCTGACTTTAATTTAGTGACTTTGCATAAAAGATATTCTATTCAGATACCCAAATACCTTCATTTTATTTCCTGCTTCTTTCCATTTTTTTTTATAAACACCTCTATTCATAAAATGTATTCATGGCCAAAAGCAGATGAAATTTTATTAGCTAACTTTTATAAGTCATCATTAATTTTATCTAGGAAAATTCATTAAATATTAGTTATATTCAAGATAAAATGTTGGACTCTAGCAATATAAAGAACAATTATCATCTTAAGTGAAAATATAGTCACTACTAATATTAAACAGCACTGCCAAAAAACAGTTTGGTCAATTAAAATAAATAGTACAGATATTTCAATATCTTGACTTGGTTTTATACGTGACTGCTTTCCTATATAAGAATGTTTTAAGCATTGGAAGTGATTTTTTTACAAGTGAAATAGATTTGATTTAGAGTAAAATGACTCTAAGTGAGTGTGTGTGTGTGTGTGTGTGTGTGTGTGTGTGTGTGTGTGTGTAATCTGTTACTACAGTAGTTGATGGATATTAAATAATTTATACATATATGTTCAACTCTTGAACATAACTGAGTCATCCTAGAATATTGAAGAAAGGGTGGAATCCATTATATTGGGATTGTGGCACGTAAAATTATGATTTTAAAATTATGCTTGTGAATGGTAACACAATCAACTTTGTAAAAAACTTTTTCAGTGCTACCATGACATCTTTGTTCCTCAAACAATATATCATGGGGTTAAACATTGGTGTCACAATGGTGTAAAAAAGAGAAACCAGTCTGTCTACTCCTACTGAATGGCTGGATTTTGGCCTCATATACGTAAGGATAGCTGATCCGAAGAATAAACCCACCACCATGAGATGAGAAGAACAAGTAGAAAAGGCCTTGGCACGCCCTGTGGCTGATGGAAGTTTCAGGATGGTTGAGATGATTTTGACATAAGATCCAAGTATCAACATGAAAGGAACAGTAGCAACTATAAAAGCTACCACGTAAAGTAACATCTCAATCATAAAAGTATTCCCACAGGCTAGTTTGAGTACTGGAGGGACATCACAGAAAAAGTGATCCAGCTGGTTAGGTCCACAGAAGTGTTGAGAGAAGATCAGGTAGGTGAACCCTAGTTCTAATGGAACTGCACTGAGCCAACAGCCAATTGCCAGTTGCATACACAGTCGAGTGTTCATGATCAGAGGGTAAAGTAATGGGTTACAAATGGCCACATACCTGTCATAAGACATTGCAGTCAGAATGAAGCACTCAGTAGCCCCTAAGACCAGAAAGAAAAACATTTGAGTAGCACAGGCTAGAAAGGAAATATTTCTATTCTGCCTGCAAAGATCTGCTAACAGTCTAGGAACAGTCACCGACACATAGCATATTTCCAAGGTAGAAAAGTTCCTTAGGAAAAAATACATGGGGGTCTGAAGACAAGAATCAACCTTTGTAACTATGATAATTAGGCTGTTTCCAAGCAAAATAATCATATACATTATCAAAAATATCCAAAAAAGAAATCTCTGGAGTTCAGGAATGTCAGAAAAGCCAAGTAGGATAAATTCTACCCATGTGGTGAGATTGCGCTGATATTTTGCTCCTGTTAATTCCATCTGTGAGTGAAAGGATTTCAGGGGTTAAAAATCACTGTAATCCTCTGGATCTAACTGCAAATCAGAACATTTTTAACAAATAATTTCAAATCCAATGTCATTGTAGTTATATCCAGTTTGTTGATATGGTTGGTATTTTTGGTAATGCCATTCAAAACAAAATGTCCTACAGTTCAAGCATATGAAAAGAGAGATTGTTATAATCTCTTTTCTTACTGCTCATAATAAATATCATGAATCTGTGAAAAATAAAATAGCATAATCAATAAAGCATTAATAAAATATTAATACAGTCATGCATTCTGTACTCAGAATAATTTGCATATTCATTTATAGTTAATATGCACTAGTCAAACCCTTTCTTCTTCCTAATCTCCCTCCTGTATATATGATGCTCGATTGTATCAGTTTTCTGTCTAGTACCTTCTCAAATACAATATTTTTTCATATTTTTTCTGCTTATTTTGCATGTATGCTTCCCCAGTGAGTAGTATGTCAGATAACCAGATACCTAGGCAGCCAGTAATATTCTACTCCCCATCTGATAAAGGTCATCTGTGGCCAATTGCAATCTACACTGCCCAAAGAATTTCTTTTCTAATAAGTTTATATTACAAAGGTTGCACCATAGCAATTTAAATAATTATTTGAAGCCTGAAATACGAATTAAATCACCTTGTAAAAAACTATCTTCAAGTCTACCGTGGCCTCCCCAAATTTTAACAGTCTACTTTTTAGCTTAAAAGAGTAATTAGGTACGTCTGTTCTTGTTACATGTCATTGATCTAAGCACAACTTTTAGTCATCTATGAGCAAAAGATATGAATTCTCTATTCTGTGCCATCTCATTATCTTTGACATTCTTGAAACCATTGCTCCAGACATTGTGTCAAATCCACCTTGTTGGGGAACTTTCTCTCCTTCACTGATGTTTCAACCTTTCAGGAATGATGACCCTTTCCAAGGATTAGGCTAACATGACTATATGTCTAAAGTATGAGAATGAAACTTCCCTACGATTGCCTCCAAGGAGCACTCTGACTGCACTTTCCCCAAAATGTATCCCTTTGTTCTTTTGGCAGTCCATAGGATATTCAGTACTTTACTCCAGTACCACAACTCAAAGGCATCAATCCTTCTGTCATCTTTATTCATTGTCCAGCTCTCATAAGTGTAGCAGGTAATTGAGAAAACCATGGCCTGAACCAGGCACACCTTAGTCTTCAAACTGACATCACTGCTCTTCAGTATTTTGGAGAGCTCCCTGACAGCAGACTTGTCCAGCGAAATACATCTTCTGATTTCCTGACATTGGTCCTATGGGTATCATTTGTCGATCCAATCCAGATAAAATCACTGACAGCTTCAATCTTTTTTCAATATATCTTCATGTTTACTGTTGGTCCTGTAGTGAAGGCTTTGTTTTATGTTGAGACATAATCCGTATCAAAGGCTATATTTTTTTTCTCTGCAGCATTTCACATCCTCCTAACTCTCAGCAAGCAAGGTCATATAATCAGCATAATGCAGGTGGTTGATCATTCTTTCTCTGATCTTAATGCCTCCTTCTTTGTAGAGTCCAGCTGCATGGATTATTTACTCAGAAAACAGATTGAGTGGGTATGGAGAAAGAATATATTCCTGATGCACATACTTTTGAATTTTAAACCATATGATGTTTCCTTGCTCCTTTCAGATCTAGGTAAGTTTAAGTCTGTACAAAGTTATTAGACAAAAAAGGGGGAAATGTGCAAAATAAGCCGAGTTCTTTCATAACACAAGACTAAAATAGAGTATCCTTTTTTTTTTGCTTTTACATCATGTCTCTAAATATAAATAAGGGGTCCATAGGTGGTAAAAAGTCAAGCGCATGACTAGATGACTAGTGACTATAAGATTGGTGACTAGTATATATATAGAGAGATGCCTAAGAAGGTCTAATGGGTGATTTGCTTTGCTTTGAATGGATTAATTTTGGTCGTTTGATTTGATCTTTTCCAGATCAAAGACTTGAAAACTTTATGGATCAGAAGTTTACTTGGCACAAAAAAAAATTGCTATGAGTTGGATTCAACTTGAAGACAACAGATGCCTACAAAAGCAAATCTAAATAAATTTGTTTCTAAATGATCTTCAGAAAATTTACTCAAGTGCAGTAAGCTTCTTAAATGAGTATTTTTTAGCAAAAAGATGTTCAGTCTCTTATTAGATCTTAGAGTTCACTTGTCACAATTAAGTCTTTGTTCCTTTCACTAACTAAACTATAAGTCATTTTCACAGAAGGAAGCATACTCCATAGTTTCTTAAGTTTTGATCTCACCTTTCCATTTCACAGATTCCAAACTATAAATGAAATATAACTTATCTTCTTTGAAGACTCTGAGTTCCTCTTCTCTCTCATATAGTAAAAACAATTTATAGTTACATGTTTTATTAATAATTCCTTATTCTTAATGAATTGTAGCTTTCTCCTTCTTAAATTCATCTTCTCTTTTTATTTAATTTCTGTTTTTCACAGCACACTTTAACAATAAAGTAACCTCCAGTTGGTGGTGTTCTAGTTTTTTTCTTATTACACTTTTTTTACTCTTTTGTGCAAGTCCCTTATTTGGCATATTATAAAAGTAGACATAACTTTAGATATATAAGCAATTTCAACTTTTGCAATAACTTCCAAAGAGTGATTATGTTTTATTAAAGAATCATCTTTTTTCATAGTCTTACTATTTTAATAAGGACTAGCACAGAGCAGAGCTGGTAATCCCTTTTTGACTCAAATGGTCAAACAATCTACTATTTCCCAAAAATATACTGTTTTATTCCAAAGTCAGTCAGAACACAGGCTGCTAATCAGCTTCTGAAAGTACACAGCTTTGAAAACCCTATGGAACAATTCTATTCTGCACACGTGAATTTGTCATCATTTGGCATAAAATCTCATGGCAACAAACGTTAACAATATCTATAGATACTGAGAATAGAAGTCTGACTAGTTGAATTATTTTTACTATTATCATTTCAATGTTTTAGTTCTTATAAAACATAATAATGTACTTACCTATATTAGCTTATACAATGCATTCTGAGTCAAGTATATGTAATTACATTGCATTCCTAACATGAAGAGTTATAGATATACGGAGGTAAGGTAAAATGAGTACCTTCAAGAAGGTAGGAGCTTTAGTGGCTTAGTGCTAAGGAATTAGGGTGCTGACTCAAAAGTAAATGGTTCGAATCCACCAGTTTCTCCATGGTAAAGGAAAACCTCCTCCTGTGTAATTTATTGCCTCTGAAAATCCTTTAAAAGGTCAGTTTTGGGTCGGATCTGACTTGATGGTATGCAACAGTGTATAACTTAGTTGACTTTAAATAAAAAATATTATCTCAGCCATATTTTTAACTAAAATTCTACAGATTTATTATACAGATAGAATTTATTATTTTGAATTTCATTCTCTCAGTGTTTTTTTAAGTGTATTTTATATTGGTTTGCATACAAAGTTTGTATGCACTCTTTTGCATACTATCTTTCATTTCTGTTATGTTTCATACAATCATTCCCAATAATCATATTTTATTAATCAACATTCAAATAGGCCCACCATTGTCCTGTCTTTCCAGATCCCCACTGGATTTTTCCCATTTCCTTTACCCACCCCTCCCTCTACCCATCATAGTGTGTAATTTTATGATTATCACCATGCTCATCTTCACCCCTCTGCTCCTACCCTCCCCACCTTGGATCCTCATGCACATTTTATTACCTATCTTTCTATTTCTACAATAATGGTCTTACACAGTATTTGTCCTTATGGGCCTTAGTTAATTTATTGAGTATAATGCTCTTCATTCCCACCCAAGTTATGAAGTCATTTGCAAAATTGCTCTTGAGTGCTGCATAGTATTCCACTCTATATTGTGCATATGCCACAATTTTTTAATCCATTTGAATACGGTTGGACATTTGGGCTGTTTTCATGTCCCTGTGATAGTGAATAATGCTACTATGAACACTGGTATAAAAATTTCTGGTTTTGTCTCAGTTCTAATTTTCTTTTGGTATATTCCAAGCAGTAGAATAGCTGGGACATATAGAATTTCAGCAATGTTGAGCTAAAACTGTTCCGCTTTTGAGGAAACATGAAACTGCCTTCCAAAATGATTGTACCATTTTACAGTTCTACCAATAGTGCATGCGAGTTGCTATCTCTCCGCATCCTTTCCAACTCTAATGGACTCAATTAAGAGTCATCTCAACTCTAATTAAGCTCAATAAAACATAAAATAATACAAACATACAAGGATATCATGATTCCCCATCTATTTTAATGCCATTAAATAGTATGTCAATTTAAAGATTTTTATGGTATTTTTTAGTATCTCAAGTTTTAAAGATACATCTTACAAATGAATCTGTTTGGACTAAAGTATCTTCCTTTAGGCTCTTAAATCTTGACAGTACAAAACCCCCACAAAATAATACTATAAGAAAGAAAAAATATTATAACTCACCTTTTAATATTGGGCTAAATTCAGGGTACATTACTTTTCTCTAAAGTAAGGAGTTTTAAGTAGTATAACCCTTTATATTTAGTCTACTTAAGTAACAATTCCAGTCATTATTTTATTCTGAAGTGTATACTTCACTTTCAAATCAATCAGTGCCTTTTGTTGGGAAATACTCTAAGATTATTTTGAGACAGCTATTTTTCATTTCTGTGTTGCACTTTTAAACTCAATCATCTGTTTTTCAGAATGTTATTTGGGAAACAGCCAAGGCTAATTGTGATTGGATTAGTGTTGAAACAAACTTTCTCTATGGAATAGAGTATTAACTTCAAACCGCTCCTACATTTTCATCCATTTGCCCCATCTTTATAAAGGAAATCAATTACAGAGAAAAATTGTATGAGACATTCAGAATGTTAATTATTGAAATAAAATGCAGTATTCCCTCTCAATGTTAAGTCTGAGGAAGCTAAACGTGAAAACATTAGAAA